AAAAGGTCCTGAATAATCATGGCCACTCTAATCGTCTAAAAATCTGTCAAAAAAACATCGTAATATCTCTCATACTTTCCGAAAAGAAAACCGGATGAAACTTACTTTTTATTGGTACATCGGTATGACATGTAATTTACTTCTAGGATGAACTACCTATCTTTCGCCCGCGACTCAATCCGCGTGTAATTTAAAAAAAAAACGCGTAGCTTACATTTTTTTCTAGGCTAAACATCGAGATCCGTTCACAAACGTTTTGGCCACAAACTTTAACAAACATCATTAGTAATCAGTAATATAATAAAGTGAATTAAAATAGTTACCTCAGACATTTTAATTGCATTTTGCCGCCAAAACTGGCTGTCAAATCTCCCGGCGGCCATGACAGTCCAAACGTCATCTGGTAGCGACGCGTCCCGCGGCGCGCCGCCCGCTGCGCTCGTTATCCAATTTGTCTTTCCATACTGAAGATTAAAATGATTGTCGGTGACGTGTCTGTTTGTTATTGTTCACAATTAACTGATAAAATACAATTAGGGGTTGATTGAGTGAAAAATAATTGTTACCTTTAGCTGTGGAGAATGTTGAATTTAGTATGGCGGAGAGATGGAAAATTAGATGCGTAGAATATTCGCAGGAAGATGTTGATAATAAAATGAGCTTAGTATAGGTACTCTTTGAGGCTCGCAGTATGTCCATAGCTCGTACCTGAAATTCCCAAGTCAAGTGGTTAACCTCTGAGACACCGACGCTCTTGTTTTCTATCTGTACTAATATTATGAATAGGAAAGTTTTGTATTTTTGTATGTATTGAAATAACTCAAAAACTACTTGGCCGATTTTAAAAATTCTTTCACTGTTAGATAGGTAATTTATCTGCGAGTAACAAATTACTAATATTATAAATGCGAAAGTTTAGATGGATGGATGGATGTTTATTTGTAGCCTAAACGGCTGAACAGATCTTGATTATATTTTGCATAGTGAATAGTCTGGAAGAACACATAGGCACACACATTTGTTTTTTTTTTAACACCACGCTGTCAGAGTCGCGGGCGTAAGCTAGTATGTTATATTTTTAAATATCACGTAAACGAATACTTAACATTATAATGCGGAAAGATTTGTATTTTTGTATGTATTTCATCTCCCCTGTCTTATCCTACTCCCGTAGAGTCGGTGCGCCGGGTTTTTGTCCTCCAAATAACTCTATCATACGTCATCTCAGTCATCACACCCTTCTTGATCATGTCACCTTTCACGCAATCCATCCATCTCTTTCTATATCTACCTCTACCGGTGTACCCCTCCACATACATAACTAACGTCCTGCTTGTATGTATTTGATTCTCGTAAAAGCTACATGGGTATGTTTTACTTACGTATTTACCTATATTACATGGGCTATGAATTTTTATTATTTCTTAATGTCACGCAAACGAAGTCGAGAGCAAGAGCTATTAACTATATAGGAATAAAAAACAATAAACGAGACTTTATCACTATAAAATTACAAATCTACAGCAGTTCAATTTTCTTTTGGTGAAATAACTTTTCAATTCAATAAGATTTAAACTACTTACGTGAAAATCTTAACTTTCATAGTCTTTAGGTCACTTTTAAACTAATGCAGCCGAAAACTTTTCAAAATCTTGGTAATTACATCATGTTTAATCAATTTGCAATTCAAAAGATCAATAGCCTCGGTTCGACTGATTTATTTTCAAATACCCACCAATACTAAATGTCATTTTATAAATGTTCACCTTTTGAGACAACAAAATCATTTGTCAATTGTTAAGTAAATAAAAATTTGCATGCTGTAATATTACTACCTTTTTAATAAAAACATTTTAAACGCTTTCAAAATCTTATCAAAACCTTTGGAAACTTTATAATCTGGCGACAAATATTTACATAGACAATTTACTTCTTACCAAAGATAATATATGTCAGTAACAGTATTTTTTGTCTTTAATTACAGGTCCAGTGTTAATGATATCAAAGCGAACTTAATCGTACGACCACGTGTTCGGAATTACATGGGCGTGAAGCGAATTCTGCGCGGATAAATCCCTTTGTGCTCCAATTGCATTGTTTCGACAGTGCAATTGTATCAGTGCATATCTCTGAACGCTTTGGTCAACGTATTGTAACTTAGTTCACGTTCTGTCGGACTTTATTGAATCATTCAAGTGTGTACTTACCTTATGATTTTTTGTCCATTAATATATCTGTTATTACATCGATGATTTTTGATATAATTGTAAAGGCAATCTCTATTGTTAGTTTAAAATATAGATTTAAATTGTGTGTTTGGAGTATAGAGATTGAGGTCCTAAAGTCATTGTAGCAGCAAGTATACAGTAATCCATAAATATAACTATATTAAATTGTATAAACACACGGTTATACACGACTATTCATATATATATAGGTTTTAACTTGGATAATAAAATAAAATAATGAGTAAATGGTAAATAGTTTCAAGTAAAAATTAAATTTAAGTTTAGAGCCATCTAGTATTATTTTTATGTACATCTGTAAACTTTTTGATACACGCCTGTCAGTACACGTTTCATTCGTAAGATGGCGCTTTTGTATATCACCCACGAATTTCTAATAAGAATTTAATAAAATATAATTAATGCGTGATAAACAAGATTTATTTCGATGTATTACCAATTAAAACTTTTTAACTTAAATGTCTTTTTGTAGAATATTAAGAATTGGAAGAGAATAACAATAAACGTTCCGATTTTTTAAAAACATTTGTAAAAGTTCTTGGACTGTGTCAAACTTTGACAACATCAAAGTACTCTTGAAGTTATGCTATAACAAAATATTTTTTTGCCCTAAGTAATGATTTAATACAATTTAAAACAGCTTTGATTAACAATTTATTTTTTTTAATGTAAATGGTGGTAAAGTTTTAGGCTTGGCTGTAAATCTTCGTGCCTATGTTAAGTTGTAGGAAAGGCGGGAAAATTTAAAAGAAAAAAGAAAAAGAAATAGATTTTCATGAAGTTAAGTAGACTACCCTGGGCCGTAAATTTTAATTTTCATGGACCACGTAAGTAATATCAATTCTTTCATGTTATTTTTCAAACATTAGTCGATTCCGTATCATTTACAACGGCAACACTAGTGCTATGAGCTATAGCACGATATATACACATGTAGGTCAATGAAAAAATGGCTTAGCACTCGTAGCTCCTATGTACCGTGGCAAGAAATAATATTTAAGTTTAAATGGCATTCAGTGATTTATGTCAAATAAGTAACGCGTACAATGCCGTTGAAAATGAATCTGAGGTAAGTAGCGAAGTGTTGTTTCGCGAGTTAAAGTGCGTTTTTTATGGGTGTTAGAAATTTACGTAGCTGTCAGTTTGACCCCAAAATCCGGGAAAATGTCGTAAATATAAGTAAAAAAAGTGTACATTGTGACCATATGTGAGATAAAACAGTGATGTTTGTCAATAAAAGGTTCCCATAGGCGTGGGCAGTTCTAACATGACTTAGTATTTTGTAAAGGTAATGGTGACATCGTAGCGCAACATACAATAATTATAGAATAATGTAGCTTGTTCTTTAAAGGACAATAACGCAGGTAATGTCGATAAGCTTATATTTTGTTATATTTCAGTTCAAAATAGTATTTTTCGTCTTCAATTTGGTTTTCATCGCGTATGTGGGTATAAGATAGGTGCGCATTATGTAGTATTGGAATTTACTTTCTCCATTGATTTTTATATATACGAATGTCCTTCAATGGGTCGAAATAAAAACAATTCACATCGCAGTAGTGTTAATGAAAAAGATTTTGTATTGAAATATTGGTGTCGCCATATTTCCTGTTTATATTATGTTTATACTTAAAAGGTCATGCATTATTAAAACGTGATTTTTTTTCTATTCGTATTGCCTTAGATGTATCACAATGTTGTATTAATATCAAAAATATAACAGTTAACAACTGTCTTAGTAGAAAATAAAAAATATCTTATTAGAAAACCTTTTGTTACCAAATTAAGTTTTTTCCAATTCTACATTGGCATAGTTAGGTCAAGCGGGTGCAGTGTCTTAGAGAATTGATTAAATAAGTAGAAATATATATCTGTACTTAAATTATTATCATAAAGAGCAAAGATTTGTATTTTTGTATGTATTGAAATAACTCAAGAACTAGTGGGCTGATTTAGAAAAATCTTTCGTTAATAAAAAGTGTTATCGCAGTAACATAGGCTACATACATTTTTCAATTACATTCAAAGACGGAATCAACATCTAGCTTGAAATATTATAATTACATTCTCTATAGACTTAGAAATAGTATGGAACAACAATGAGTCATTTTTATTCAAAGTTTTTTGTTGAGTGCTGCGCGCTTATCATGTCTTTCTGTTTTCTTGTCTATGTATTTAATTCTGCTCTTGTCTTGAACAAGATGAACAATTGTACCCTTTAATAAAAAAAAGAAAAAAGACACAATTTAGTTTTTAATGTCGCAAAGACAAAGTAGCAAGGCAAAGTGTAATTTTTAAAATAAAATTAAAACATTTTATTGGCTTTAAAACTATTTTTTACAAAATCTGTTGGGATCTGTCTCTTATAACTCTTAAAACTGTGTTTGGGAGATAGATCTTCATTAAAGTAAAGTAACTTTAACTTTAGCTTATATAGACGATTAGCCTGTGACTCCATTTGTATTGAATTAAATAAAAAAAGTGAGTAGCCTATGTTTTCTTCCAGACAATCCTCTATATCTATGCGAAATTTCATCAATATCCATTCAGCAGTTTAAGCTACAAACTTTATTGCATTTATAATATAACTGGCTGTTGCACGCGACTTTGCCCTCGCGAAATTAAAAAAAATAGTAAAGACATAGCCTATGTTACTCAGTGATAATATAGCTTTATAATGTTGCAAGAATTTTTGAAATCGGTCAAGTACTTTTTGAGTTATTTCAATACATACAAAAATACAAATCTTTCCTCTTTATAATATTAGTATAAATAAGTAGGAATATTATAATTAATAAAAGACAATAATAAGCTTAAGTTCAATAGGCATGTAAAGGTGAGGCCATCATTTTTGACTTGTTTAATATTTATGAACAAATAATTTATATTTATTCAAATAACAGTGCACTGTTCTATTCAATTTTGATGTTATTGTTTAAACCATGCACATGTGTTATGAAAAAACTGGTTTAACGATGACCAGCATTTTTGTAAACCTCACTAATATTATGGACTAGCTTTTACCCGCAACTATGTCTGGGAATTAAAAAGAAAACAAAAGTAATCTATGTGTTCTTCCAGACTACCCTCTACTTGTATACCAAATTTTATTGAGATACATTCAGCAATTTAGGCTACAAACTCTAACAAACATGCATCCATCTTTGTTAACTTTCACATTTATAATATTAGTAACTAGCTGTTACCATGCAAATTCATTCGCACATGAATTATGAAAATTTGATTTTATAGTTTACTTGTGTCAAATTATCAATTGCAAATGTCAAAATGACATGACATACCACAAACCATGGCAACCTTGCTTCCTTGATGTTGGCTGCAACTTATGGTCTCTTTCCCACATTAAGAATAGGTTTAAGAATATATTTATTTCCTTAATAAGAATTACAAAATTCACTTACTTAAGGAACTTCCTTATCTAACATTTATATTATTATATAATGCAAGCGTACACAAAAATATAACATTGTAACATTTAACAGATGTACCTTTAACTTTGAATAGATGTGTTCTACATCGGTTGCTCAGAAGCACACATAGACTATGCATTTAGTTTATAGAAAACAATAACCAATAGCTTCTCAGATATGTTACAAAATGTTGAATAACTCTATGTACCATACAAATCATCAAATTCACCAATTTTGTTGTATTAAGTTAGAATAGGGACTGTTAGTCTCCATTTTTAAGATAAGGAATGTTTTTTTTTTGGTAATGATGATTATTTTTTTAATTTCAGTCGGAGCGCATTATGGAAGAGAACTCGATGGTCCGTGATCTCATCACCAAAATCCTGGATGAGACCGGACCATCAGACACACCTAGGTAAGTCTTATTTACTTTTAGATATCTTAGTTATATACTCAGAAATGTTCTTAATGAATGACATATGAATAGTAATTATAGTAAGAAATAATTAGTGGAAAAAGAGTTTTAGGGCCTGCCACCAAATTGTAAATTTGTCTGATAACAATCCAACATGTAAAATATGTGATGGAAATAGCGATTTTTATTACCTTATCTGACAGTGTCATTTTTTAGCTATCTGAGCCTCTATCAGCCAGTGGTGGGACAGGCTTTGAAATTTATTCGTGTCCAGCATTATTGATTTAAATTATTTCCACAGCTGCACGTCAGATAAACCCTTAACAAGTACACCAGTTATCAGCCAATACCCAAATAATGAACCTACAAATGCATCATATATGCCGCCGTCTAATTTCAACGCTTACCAAAACTCGCTATTCAATTACTCGCCGACCAACCAGAATGGATTCAACTACAATCTCCAACAAAATGGGTTCAACACAAATGGATTTGTCAACTATCAAGATGATTCGACCGGTCTATTAGGTTTGGATCCTGTAGGGGACGCGAGCGCCGAAACGGTTACTCCGGAACAACTAAATCTACTACGTTTAGCGGCACAAGAGATTGGTGGAGCGCAGTTCACTAATCCTAGTAAATATGATGACAAATTCTACAACTACTTTGAACCGAGCCAAAGAAATTCTTTGAACGATACGAACCTATTCACGACCAACTATAACAGACCAAACAGTCTTAATCTAGAAATGAACTATACAAACTTTGATAATTCATTCAATACACAGAGATTTCCGACTAAATATGAAAATACGTTTGTTAAGGATCAAAACGATCCAAGCGAGATATTAAACTATTTAAGCCAACTGACGTTATTGGAACGAAATCGCGATGAATTGTTAAGCGATTATAAGTACGATGTAAATGCACAATACCAAAATGATGAGTTTAAACTGCAAGAGGAAAGAAACAAGATGTTTTTCAATAGAAATTATCCGAACAAAACTTACAACGGTGATTTCTACTTCAATATGAATGATGAACAGAATTTTTATTCCAATCAGAATCAGACGAATCCAATGTTTAAGCCGAATGGATATCAGGATTACGCACGACGTGATATCCAAAATGGTTACCAAGGCAACGGGATAGAAAGATCTGGGTTTGAGATGAACCGGGATGCCCAGGTAGCGCTGCTCAGACAGAACCAGGATATTGCCAGACAAATGCTCATGATGAGGAACAGACCTCCTCCTAATCCGTTGAATGTGGATGTGTCATTTTTACATGAAAATACTCCTTTCAACATTGGTGAGTTTTTTTTTTACTTTTTTTTTGCTATTTTTAATAACATACTCAAGGTGTTTACTGTTTTTATGTTTATAATTTATAGTGGATTAAAAAAATCAATTATCTTCAAGTCAAATTATAATTTAATGTTTTAGTTAATTTAAATTAATATAGTTTAGTTAAATACTTATTTTAACATTGTCTGGAATAAAATAGCTCCTTTTTTAAATATAGCTACGGTAAAAGCATTGCACTATTTAAGTTCAAATCTGTTTGAGTTTTTTCAATTTTCAGTTATTTAAGTTATTTCACTGTGAATGTAAACCAGACATTTAAAAAATGTATAGACTAGATGTGAATAACATTTTTTAACTGATAACATCTTTCAAAATCTATTTTAGTTGTCAAGTTTAGTGCCACCTCATGTCTGTATTCATGTGTTTTTTTTTATAATATATTGTGGCAAACGAGCAAGCGGCCACCTGAATCCCTCGAAATGGAATGCGACCGCTGCCTATAGACATCCGCAATTGCAGATGCGTTGCCTACCCTTCATTGACGGAGGAGGAGACGCACATAAAGAGAAGATATTTCCCCTTCCTATGCCTCTCCTCCACCGTTAAATCCACTTTTCCTTCCCATCCTTTCCTCTTAAGAAAAGGGTGGTAAAGATAAAGGGACTTAAATTAGGCCTCCGGCACCTCACTCATCAGACGAAACACGGAATTGCTTCCATTTCACATCTGTCTTCTGTGTGGTCGTGGTATCACTGGGGGCGTGCCGGCCCTGCAGTGCTAACATGTTAAAGCGGGCTCTACCACTGTTAATTATAATATAATTTAGTAGTGTTTAATAGCAATAGCAATAACAGTGGTAGAGCCAACTTTAACATCTTGGCACGAATAGGTAGGCTCGCCCCCAGCAATACCACGACCACACAGAAAATAGGCGTGAAGTGGAAACAATTCCGCGAACAGTCTGATGTGTGTGGTGCCGGAGGGCTAATTTTAGCCCTTTCTCTTTCCACCCTTTTCTTAAGAGGAAAGGATGGGAAGGAAAAGTGGATTTGACAGTGGAGGAGACGCATAGGAAGGGGAAATATCCTCTTTATGTGCGTCTCCTCCTCTGTCGTATAAGGGTAGGCAACGCATCTGCAATTGCGGATGTCTATGGGCAGCGGTCGATTCGCCATTTTGGCGATTTCAGGTGGCCGCTTGCTCGTTTGCCACCTTATGTTATAAAACAAAGCTCCGTTTTTGGTTTTAATTAAATGATCTTTTTTGAAATACTATTTAAGTACAATTAATTATATTTTCATGTGGTTTTGAGGATGTATTAGATAGCGTTAGTACATTATGTGAAAAATGTCTCAAATAAAGTATCAACTATACTCCCACTATATATTTTTTGAATATTGTAAATTAACATTAGTTTACAATCTGACGGTTATGAAATGTTATTTCCAGGAGTGGGTACACTACTGGGCCCCAGTCCGCCAGTGCCGCAGACAGTGCTGTCTTCTCCCTTGGTTGATTTACCATTGACACCATATCATGTATTAAAGAATATGAAGTAAGTTTTTTTTTTTTTTCATAGATGGCGCTGTAATGAATGTTATTGTTTCTGAATCTCGATGATAAGTTTCACTAGCTTTTAAAAAAGAATTAATTAATTTTATTATTTACTGATGTTGTAATAGTATGTTTTGATGGATGGATGGATGTTTGTTAGAGTTTGTTGCCTAAACGGCTGAACGGATTTCGATGGAATTTTGTATAGATGTAGAGGATAGTCTGGAAGAACACATAGGCTACTCACATTTGTTTTGTTTTAATCCATGCGGACGGAGTCGCGGGTGAAAGCTAGTATAATATAATAATAATAAAGTGTAAACGAACACTACATAGTTATGTAGGATGTCAGCAATCCTAGTTATTTTTTGAATAATTGTTTCTTTAATAAAAAACCGTACACTTACGATACGATCTTTATACTTTATTAAACTTAAGGGGTAAATAAATTCGAAAAAAACTACATTTGTCAAAGGATTTTAGTGTCATTTGTGCATTCGAATGTTAACATTTGCAATTTTTTTTAAATTCTATACGGATGAAGTCGGGCTAACAGCTAGTTCATAAAATAACTAGTTACATTACAACAGGCACACAATAACTCCATCGGCGATACTCCACGCGAGACTGGAAGTCTGCTACGAGCAGTGGAAACAGTTGGAAAGGGAACGCAAACGTACTGAAGCGCGCCTCGCACTCGCCTACCCTGGCCGCGCCGTCTCCTCCTCCAACTCCATCCCTGTGCCGCGTCTCCCACCCTGCCCTACTCGAGTCGATCGGCTCACTGTTGATATGCTGAGGGAACATACTAAGGTAACAATATAATTTTACAGAACAAGCAATTAAATTATTAAGAATTTGGAGGCACTATTCAAAAAGAAACACTCTGTATATCTTACTTTTACTCTATAAATGTGAAAGTTTATATGGATGGATGTTTGTTAGAGGTTGTGGCCTAAACAGCTGAACGGATTACGATGAAATTTGGCATTGGTGCCGGAGGCCTAATTTTAGTCCCTTTACCTTTCCACCCTTTTCTTAAGAGGAAAGTATGGGAGGAAAAAGTGGATTGGACGGTGAAGGAGACGCATAGGAAGGGGAAATGTCCTCTTTATGTGCGTCTCCTCCGTCAATTAGGGTAGGCAAATATCTGCAATTGCGGATGTTTATGGGCAGCGGTCGCTTTCCATTTCGGTGGATTCAGGTACGCTTGCTCGTTTGCCACCTCGTATTATAAAAAAAAAATGTAGAGAATAATCTGGAAGAATTCAGGCTATTCAATTTTTTTTATTCCATGCGGATGGAGTCGCGGGCGAAAGCTAGTGAAAAAATATAAGTAACTTGCACGTGCGATTGTATCTATATTAATAAGTTATACTGAGTAAAAATTAACTTATATATTAAGTTAAATTTTTATTTCATTCTAAAGATATGAGTATTGGTGCAATAGTAACACTATAGAAAAGAAACATTTCTTTAATTTTAGCTAAAACAACCTAACCGTGGATAAAAATCTAGTGTATTATAAATGGTCTTTCCCTTTGGGCCTATTAACTTATGGGTTTTTTTCCCATTGGATCGAGTCACTATGGATTAAATCGGACCAATAGGACAAAAATCCTATTGGTGTTACCTATATGTGAACCGATTGGTCCATCCAGAAACCTTCAAAGTTATTAATTTTCATATAATTATGTAATATATTAATTATATTCAGGTGTTAACACTTATGGGTAAAATGGAGACTTTGCGTGCGAGCGTGTGTGTGCAAACAAAGAGACATAAGCAAGAAGATCACAAGATCACAGTACTGAGACGCGGACAGGAGCCCGCGTGCGAGCGAGACAGAGATAATGGATTGGATCCTAATAACTTCGATCCCGCAACATGGCGTGATGATGTCAAGAATGTATCGGAAATGTGAGTTTTTACTATA